AATAGGCAAAGTTTTTGTATATTGGAAGATTTTCAGATACGACCAAGTTATGTCACATGCAATAGTAGCCTGGAAATCTCCTTACAAAGAGAGTAATAAAGAGCTTTAATCTATGACCTATAATGATCTTCTAGAATCACAAGTGAATTAGTGGCCGATACTGTGTAATTTCCATTAAGTACCTATATCAGTTTCTTTGATCAACAGCATAACTAGTAGGAAACCAAAAATCCTTTCAAAAACAGATTACTATCATATTTTATAGCTTCTGTGCATGATTCCTGTGTTCAGGCTCTGTTACCCCTATTTTCTGAATAATTTCTAGATTATGGGTAGCTTCAATCGGCTCATTATTTTTAAGTGTAAATTTGCATCCATATAGGATCCTTGTCGAAGGAAAAACCAAAACAAAAGATCAGTGACGCTTTTCATTGGCAGACATCATCTCTTACCTGTGTATGGATCAACCCCACCCACTGGAGCTACTGCATTTGATGCTGAACCAGGAACATAGCGACCAGCACCTGAACAGAGACATTAGGCTTCTTCACCACCACCACTGGCAAAGACGTAACATATACCTGTATTTAGTTACTAGTTTTCAAATATCACTATTAAAGGTGTTACGTTGCACTAAAGAAATTAAAAAGAAGTCTTCAAACCCTGGAATTTAAGGATTAAATCTATGTATGTGTGTGAGGGTGGTGCTGGTGTGGTGGTGATGGCATTCACAAATTCAGTGACTCACAGCTGGGAGACATTCTGGCAGTCTCTGGCATCCACAGGTGCAAAGGCCTTCAGCACAGCAGATACCTTATCATGACAAGCTCCAGTGGGAAGGCACCACTGCCCAGGCATGGCCTCTCCTGTAGGAGGTGGACTCTGTGGCACTGAGGCCTCAGGTGAAAGAACTACAGGGTCTTTGCATCTGCAGAGTCCACAGCCTGAGCCACACAAAGCAAGGGAGGAGACACAGCTGCAGACCACAGTAGAATAGGAACAGAGAAGAGACTGTCAGGATGGGGAAGGGTGAAGGCTGTGGCTTTTGGCAACAGCATGAAAGCTTCTGCTCCGCTTGTACATCTGCAACTGCAGAATAGGCACAGTGCCCTGGCACTGGTGAGGACAAACACCCAAGCCAGCTAAGACTGCACCTCAGGTCTGCAAAAAGGGGAAAGGCAAGCAGCAGTGATGAGAAGCTTCTTCCTGCAGGATATGGAGGCACCCATCTATTGACATGACCCAGTATCTTGGGAGGTTTGTGTCTGGTAGGGACCAGAATGCTGCAGAGAGACTGCCAAGGCTTGCCTGGCCTTCAGACTATTACCCTGCTACTCTTCCACATGGGCATTGTTGATACTGCCAAGTCAGTCCTGGGAAGCATCAAGAGTGATTAGAGAGCGCTGGGGCCAAGCATGAGGGGCCCAGGTGGTGTTTGATGCTGCCAGCAAAGCAAAAACACTTGAGTAGAAATGGACTCATCAAGTGGGTCAGCGACTCGCTGCATGGCTGGTTTTGCAGGCAGGATTTTGACCTCTGTTGACTACAGGACCCTCTTTCAGGAGCAAGAGCTACTGATCAGGGATGGGATAAGTCTGACAAAGCAGGGCTGGAACATCTTTGCAAACAGACTTGCTAAACCAGTGAGGAAGATTCTAAACTATCTATGCCAGGGAGGGTTAGAATATAAAATTTAGGGTGGAAGTTACCAATAAGTGTCATGTAATAACTAAAAAGGAATAATAAGGAAAAAAAAATACTTTTATGAATATACCGTGTTGGCCATGCATATGAGAGTTTGACAAAACACACAGTTTAAGACGTTACTCCTGTGCTGGAGAGGAGAGTGACATGAGGCAGACCAGACAGCAGAGCGCTCTCCTCTACTGAGCGGGTATGGGCATGTTGACATAATAATGATGTCACATATGACACACTCCACAGTGGTGGAGTCCACCTTATCGGTCTATCCCACCCTGCTGCCCCAAATGGAGAACTGCAAGAAACAGTGGTCTGGCACCAAACACTGAACACAACTGAACATGGTAAAATATGCATCTTAAATGTTAGAAAGACAGATAATGAATTTTACATTACCTGTAAATGGATCTGCTGCAGGCATTGTACTTGATCCAGATGAAGAGCCTGGAACATAACGTCCAGCACCTAGTGAAACAGTAAGAAAAGCAATGACTACTATACACAGCTTGATGTTACTAAAATGTCAATACTTTTCAGACAGAAGCAGCTCAAAAATAAAGCCAAACTTCAAATACATCTTGTTGTTTATTGTGGCATTATAAAAAATCTGATCCTATCCACACAGAAGTCTCCTGATGCTGAACAAATTCTTCCTAATTATTCAAGGGTCAGAACTCTTTTTCTGGGGCACACGCATTACACATTCAGACACAGCCAGATCAAAAGTATGTGCATAAGTTCAGATGCCTGCAGCTCCATGTGTTACACCTGAACCTGATTAACAGCCTGTATTCTCATTTCTAGTTCATTGCAAGAAAAAGATTTAGCTCAATTATTTTAACGTCATTTTATTCCTAACTTCATCTTTGTGAAACCAGTCAAAATAAGACTGGTTTGTTTTGTAAATGTGATAAGCAGGATGTAATTGATTAACATGATTCAGCTTATGAGTAATTAACTTGTTCTAATTCCATTTCCTCCCTGAAAAAGGGTCATTTATGTATTTCACTCAGTTTCAGTTCATTCTCTAACTAAATTTTTGTATTTTATTAATTGCCTTAACAGCACCTGGCCACCTCTTTAGAGAAATAAGAAAAGTGAAGTTTTCTTCCACTGGAAAAAAAAGACTAGACTGAAAAATACAACTAGCTTGATTAAAATTTTGTTGAAGATTTGTTATGACAAACACTTTATAAGTTTGTCAAGTTTTCATATTTTTGTCAGACCTATCTGTGCCCTGCCCTCAATCACCTGAGGACACGAAAGTCCTGTAGGAGAAGCACAGGAGCTACGACACTGAAATCTGCCTGAGAAGACAGTGAGGTGGACTGAAAACTGGCTGAACAGCCAGGCCCTGAAGGTGGCAATCAGCGGCACAACATCTAGTTGGAGGCCAGTCACTGGTGGGGTCAGTACTGTGTGCAGTCCTGTTCTGTATCTTCATGAATGAGCTGGAAGATGGGTCAGAGTGCACCCTAGGTGAGTTTACTGATGACACAAAACTGGGCGGAGTGACTGATGTCCTCGTTTGGGTTTATAATTTTTACCTGTAAACGGATCTGAAAATTGAGCACTTGTACTCAACAGTGTTTGCCCTTTGGTATTGTCCATAATAAACTTGGCCACCTGATCCAGAAACATAGGATTTAGATCATTCTTTTGCAGGAAGTTGTATGCAGTCAGCCAAGGATCATCAGTGATGTTATATGGCAGTTTGTAGGAAGGTCCACTTTCATTTACGTCAATAGTGAAAACATAGTCATACTCCTTTAAGAAGAACAAAAAACAAATGAGAAGTTTGACAGCACTTTTTACATAAGGACATACAAATGCAGACTAACAATGGTGTTTTCCAGAATTCTGTTTCAAGAAGAGCAGGCTACAACAATATGATCAGGATAATATGTGTGCAGATATATTACGAAGTAACAGATGCATCAGGTAACACTCATGGTCAGCTCTGGCTGCCTGCAAAGCTATACGGCAGTCAGATGCCTCAAAAAACTTCAGCCTTAAAGCACACTTCTAATACTAGAAAACAACAAATTCCTAAGGTTTCTTTAAAATCGTGTGAGAGAGAAAATTACTATCTCAAAGGCATTCCTCTGTGGTGGCATTAGACAGAGACTTTTCTGTGTATATTTCAGTTAAGGAAACATTTTTCATCTTATCTGTCTTTAGGTTCAAAAGTTACTATAGAAAAGGGGTATAGAAAGCCTAATATTTTAGATAAGCCTCACACTATAAACGGTACAGTTCACTTCCTTTAGAAAGGAAGTTAAAACTAACTTTTCAAGGTATTAGCAATAAATACTATAGAACTTGATCATTTATCTACTAATAATTTACCTTTCTCCAAAATAATGTCTCCATTGGCTTGCTTGTTTTAAAAAATGTGTTTCAAAAGTAATAAATCAAGTAGTACTTTTTTTACACTTCTACCTCTTTTTTTAATTATTTATACTTCTACCTCACTTTATAGATCAAAGACAACAAAAAAGTACCAAGTACCACCGATTTTCTAAATTATGTTTTAAAGCGAAGACTGGAATAAGTTTTTAATGGGAAATTAAGCATTTTACTTAGGAAATAATAAAACCATTTAAAGTTTGCATATACCTTTCCTTCAAATAAAACCTTTCCAGATGTTTGTTGCGTGGCTTCAGAAGAACCAACAACATCACCAATCTTTATCCATCTTCCTTCACTGACACTCCACTGATAAGCTTCTACTTTCCCATTATCTTTAATAAGCCGTGTCTGTCCATCTCTTGTTCCTGTAGACAGAAGTGTTTAAGATTTTGAACAAATTCAAGAATACAATTTACTTTAGGAGAGAAAAAGAAGTCTTCAAATAGTGCCCAAATTTAAAGATGAAAAGCTAGTTCATTGACATTTGAAGTCACAGCACAGGAATTAACTAGATACTTACATGTCACAACCAAGAATAGCAGAAATCTTGAAAACAGCATTTTACAATTATGGTAATGGCATCTGCCACCATACTAAATTGCAAAAGCAATCCCTAAGTCAAGTATTTCAAAAGTTTACCATTTTCCCATGGAGATGACAATCAAGAGAGGGGATATTCTCCCATGGTCTAACAAGATGGGAAGCTTCATACAACTAAGATTTATGCCTCTTGTTGATCAGAGCCAAGGGTTACTGGTTACTTTGCCTTGGGAAAAAGTATTTGTCTATTTAACCACCACTGCTTCCACTGTATTCTCAGTAATCTCCCAAGAACCTGGAAAGTGTAAACTGAGTCAATCAAGACAAACTATTTTTCAAACCAAATGCTAAAAGAAAAATAGATGCATATTTTCTGCTTTAGGAAAAAAATTCCATGTTCGGGAGTCCTTTTGCAAATTACATTAACTGTCTCTCATGCTATTGGCATAGCTGGCATAATGGATCCAAAATATCTTGAACACACTGCACCATCCCAAATTCCACCTTCTTCTAAATTATCTCACAATAGAAATATTTGTCACCATTTTAGTGTACAAGAAAAAATATTTTTAAAGTAGAGCCTTGCCTCCAAAAGAATCAGTGAAAGGATACTAGAGCAAAATTAAGCTGTTTTCTTCAGCAACTCTACTGAAAGTGATAAAAGCCTTCATTTTGGAAACTATGGGAAGTTTCAGTACCTCAGAACCAAGATTTGAAGGAAGCTCTAACATGACAAAAAGTACAATAACTTACCAGGATCCTTAAGATGTTCTCTTCCAGGAAGGTTATCAGCATTAATATCTCCTAAATCACCTGTTTTAGTGTCAATGGACGCTTGGGAAAGCTCATTTTCAAAAGCTTGAATCTCCTCAGCACTTGCTGTACGTTCCAAAGATGCTGTAAACACTCTTATAATCCCATCGCTGAATGGAGAGAAAACATTCAAACAAAAATACTTTGTAAATGTCAAAATGATTACATATATTCTAATGGTGACTTCTATGCCAAGAGAAACCATCATTATTTCTAACAACCCCTCCCAATTATTTTTATGAAAGCAATTTGCTCTTATGCTAAAAACACCCAGAGAAGGACTTAAGCAGGTAGCCCTATCTATAGTATAATTATAAAAACAAGGTAGGATATGCCTGTCAAAGGGTTCTTTATACAGCACTTCTAAGTCCATTCATGGCTTACCACATTCCCATAGAACATACTATCTCTGCAATTCACATAACAAAAGAATAACTTTTTCGATGAAGTATAGCACATATTTAAATTAATCCCCATGCACATTTTAATGGTTGTATTTTTAAATACAGATGAAACTCGTATCCAAAGTGATGCTTTCTGTTTCATCAAGGGTTTGCAGACTTAGATGTAAAAACACACTGAGAGTAAAACCTGGATACCTTGCACCAACTACGATGTCACCATTGTCTAACACACAGCAGCACCATACAGACTGAGCAGGGAGTCTGATTGTTTGAGTACATTCCCCTTGTTTCCAGATTCTAAGAGATCTATCCTCTCCAGTAGTTACAAAATCTGAAAAGAAAAAGACATAAAAACTTTTAAAGTGTATTTTTAGTGTGCTGTGACACTAGCTGCTGTTCTGCAACTGAGTATCTAAAAATTAGAACAGTAAAAGAACCTTTCTACAATTTGAGACTGCTCTCAATTGCAAGAAGAGAGCTAAAATAAAGCCATGGCATAGTTGTCTTTTCAAAAAAAAATAAATGCATAAATTGCAGACTAAGCAACCAGACAGGGCATGATTTTGGGCTCAAGACAAAAGATTCCTTCTTCCTCTCAAGAGTTTAAACAAAGAACTTGGAACAATTTTGTAACCATCACTGTTTTATCTTACACTACACTTGCATAGTTTTGCATTTGTTTTAATTTCAGTTTTTTTGCAAAGGAAGCCTGCTTTTTCAGGAAACATGCATACAGCACTCTCAAAAGTCTAAAACTCCTTAACAAGGAATTTTAAGGCATAAGAGATTTATGACATACACATCCACTAGTATACAAGTTGAACAAGTGCGCAAGTGTCCCATATACCACACAAACTCACTAACTAGGAATTTCTTCTGCAACTGTCTACAAGTTAGTTCTGAACCAATAAACCTCTAAATCTAAAAACAAATGCAGTTAAGCCCCACAGATAATTCCTAACCTAAATTATTTATAATGTACTTTGAAAACTTTCTGTGGAGGTATCTAAATATACATTACTTCAAACTGGTAAGCCATGCATTACCATTTTAGTACTCTGTAACAGTGCAACAGGTGGCAACCTTGATCATAGTTTTGCCTACTGGTTCAACAAAGTTTCACTTAAGCTTTACAATTAGGCCTAACTCAGAATCTTTCATCTCACCTACTGCCACAGCAATTCTGCCAGAGGTCTGATTTGAAGTCAATCACATTGTTTTTTGAAATTATTTATGCTAAAGGAAAGAATTAAACTAAATGCTACTTAAGTTCTTTGGTTATGGCAGCTCCACAGAACTACAGAATGCCTACATTGTCATTTCATTTTGGAAGAATGTTGGGTATTAGTCACAAAAATAATCTTACCTTTACACTGAGGGAAGACGGAAATGCTGTATATATAATTTGTGTGTCCATAATACACCTGGAGACACTTGCCAGAGATCTCCCATCTTCGAACACTTGCATCATTAGCACAGGAAAGGAATTCCATTTCACTGAGAATAGCTAAACCTCTCACACAATCTTCATGTCCTTTATAAAAGAAAGGAAAACTTTTAATGCAGCTTTTGTTTCCATTAGCAGCAGTATACCATTTCTATTTAGCTCACATCTAAATCCTGGCAACCAATTTCCATTGTGGGAGCAGTTTAAAAAAAAAGAAAAAAAGCAATTCATTGATCATGAATCTCTGGGAAAAAAAAAACTAATTCTTTTAGAAGTGGTGTGATTTCTGGGCATACAACTTGAGAGACTTCAGAAATCTGCCGAAAAATTGTTCAATTTATCTATGGTTTTGTGGGATTTTATTTTTTTTTCTATTTTTAAAAGGGGTTGTGACCCTGATGAAATTACCAACTGCAGCAACATTTACCAGTGAATGTTCTTTCACATCTGCCTGCCTTCCACAGTTTAATAGTTTTGTCAGCTGAACCTGTCAACATTAATCCCTGCTCAGGCAGTATTTTCACTGCCCATATTGCAGCTGTGTGACCCTGCAAAAAAAGAACATTGTTAGACTTGTCAGAATCAAATTCAGAGTACCTGTTTTGTATTAATGTAGAGGAACTTTATACCTGTAATGTCATCATACATCTGTCATTCAACCAGACCTTGGCTGTGGTGTCCCACGATCCACTTAATAATGTGCCAAATTTCCCAGATGACAGGCTGCAAACTGGAAGGAACATTCAAATCAGGCCTGACAAGTTTCCTGCATTGCCACCAATTTTATGCCAGCAATTTGAAGAGAAGTATTTAAGGACATTTACTTCGTATTAGCATATTTAGTGTTGAGGAGCTCAGGGAAGAATTAAGTGGAACTTAACTGTAGTTGCACTGCAGCCTAGAAAATAGCTGCTTAAAACGCTCTTCACCTTAGATTACAAAACTTCATATCTTTTTGCCATTCATATCTTTAAATTTCTCTTAGTACCAGATCTCCTCAGAGTAGGATATGTTAACAAGGAGGTTAGATAACTAGGCAAGACACAGAATCAATGCTAAGGTTTAGTTTTAAGATTACAGAGAAAGCCAAGATTTCATCAATGAGTAGTAGTTCATGTCCTCAAGAAGCAAGATTTCATACAAAAAAATACTTAGCTCATCTTCTTGGAAGGCAAAATACTACTACCAAGAAACTGTGGTAAAATTTAAAGACTTAGCAAAAATATAATATGCAAATGCTCCTGTGATAGATGTAAAACTGAAGACACGTGGTGTAGTACGGTTATACTAATAAGCTTACAAAAAGAGCTAAGTCATAAACAGAGAGTCCCCTATCCGTCTACTCACTCATAAAAGGAAAGTATGGCCTTGTATTTCTTGCTTCTGTGATTCCACAGTGGGAACTGAACAGTATTCTACCTATCGCGCCCTATTTCTTCCCCACTTTAGAAGAGATTTTGCAATTAATATAATTTTAACATTTTCAAATGTTTTGTATTACTGTAAAAATTGCTACAAATACTTTTTTGTAGGGGAATCTATAACTTCCCTAGAACACCTCATCCCTTTTTACACCTCTGGAGGGAGCATGTCATATGTTATTTTAACTACTCATCCACCTCAGGTTTCTGATAAAGTACATAAGCTATTCCATGCCTCCTTACACAGTGACATTGTTTTCTTTCTCAGAGAAAGCCAAGAGGTTTACAATACAAAAATAGATTTTTGGTGCTGCTTAGCAGTCCAGGGTATTTTCAAACTGGTGTCCACAACCATTCTTTAACATGGTTAAAAAAAAACCCCAACCTTCAATCCCGAAATGTTTATTTTTTACACTCTATACTTACATAATTAGACTGTTCAAAGGTCTATTAAATACCAGATCAGCTCACAAAAAGACAAACTTAGCATGCTAATATGAAAATTGCTGAATCTTTTATGATATAGCTCAAGAAAGGGTACATAAAGTTGGTTTAATGTCAGATGTTGCACTGGCCTGACCAAAGAGAGATTAAATTTCTGCAGTGAGTTTTTAATCTTTACTTTTACTATATATTTACAGCACCAATTAATACAAGATCCCCATCTAGGTAACAAAATGGGCAGTGAAAGTTTGTTTATTTAGAAAGTTCATTTTTTCTACTGCTATCAACTTACATAAAAATTAAGCTTAATACACAGAGAACTAAATTAAGTGCTTCTTAAAAATGCAACTCTTGGCAAAAGGGTAATCATTCTGTAAATTGCCATATGTTCACATATAGAGTAAAAGCTCAAGCATTCATCAGTGTAAACTTGCAACGTATTGAGATTATAAAATCCTATTTTCAGAGGCCATAATTAAAAACTTCCTATGTTCAATACCAAAGCAATCAAAATCAGCTTTTATAACTTCAACTTGTATTTCCTCTCTAACAAATCACATCAACTTTTATGCAACAAACTCCAAAGTAAAACAACAACATACCTGTATTCTTATGACCCTTAAGGATGTAAAGAGGAGCTGGGCTGTCAACTGTGAAAATGCAAATATTATGATCATTGCCACCAGTTGCAATCAGCCCACGAGGATAGAGGTCACTTGGAGGTATGATGCACACACAAGATACAAAATTTGAGTGGCCACTCATACAGTGCATTTCAGTAAAGCCCCTGTTAGGACTAAACATATATGATAATCAGTTCAGAGTCATGGCAGAAACAGTACTTATTTGAGGCACTGAATTACAACAGGTGTTTTATACTCCAACTCTTGAATTAATATCTACGCTTGCATCATGCTGAATAAATACTACGGATTACCTAGAAAGAATGAATAACTTAAGAGAAAAATTATATCCCAGCTTTCCAACCCAGTAAGCAATATTTAAAGTTTCCCACCTATTTTTCAGTAGCCTGACTTAGTTTTCCGTGCTCAAATTGGGCACAGTGTCTGCCAATGATCAGAAGTAATTGCAGTCTGCCTTTATGAAAATGTTTGTTGTCTGAAGACTCAAATACATATCTCAGTACACCCTAAAAATAACAGAGCACTTAAATGAAGAAAGTTTACTGCCTGCAAAATCTATTCACTGGCTCTTAATTAGAAGCACAGTAGAGGTTTAATAGTGTTGTGGTTTACCCCCAGCTGGCAACTAGGCACCACGTAGCCGCTCGCTCACTCCCCCAACAATGGGATGGGGGAGAGAATCAGAAAAGTGAGATAACTCGTGGGTTGAGATACAGACAGTTTAATAGGTAAAGCAAAAGCCACATGCACAAGCAAAGCAAAGCA